GAGTACTTGGAACTGTGGAGACCAGATTCAGAGGAGAGTGGAAACAGTGCAGGGCAAGGACACCAAGGGTTATATTTTCTTTTCTTTTTTTATGTATTTAGTACAGGGTCTCTAGGGCCTCACTGCACAGATCGGACTCTTAGTGACCCTCCTGTTCTCAGCCTCCCAAGTGCTGGGATTACAGGCACGCGCCATCTCACCTAGTCTCAGTCGTCGTCTCAGCAGGCCCCGGGAGCAGGGCCAGCCCGGCAGGTAGGGGGTTGGACCCGGTCCCTGCACTGTGCCTAAGCAGGCACTTTAATCCACTGAGCTATCTGGCCAGCCCTCGAGGGTTGTTTTCTAGATCCACCTTGTATGTCGCTGGATGTTCGCTAGGAATCACCCTTTTCGAGCCTTGCCTGCAGTTTTTCTTTGTTCTCTAAGCTGGTAAGATTGGTTGGCCTTCTCACTTTTTAAAAGCCAAGAGTATATTTGGTTTGAGAGGTCTAATCCCTGTCGCAACTGCTTGGATTCTGGTCATCTCAGGGCTGAAACAGAGAGAGCTTGGCTTCTCCAAGCCAGCTGAGCTCCCCCGCTTCGTCCCTCTTCCTCTTCCTTTTTCTCTTCGGTCTGCAGGACAAGCACAAGTTTTGGCCCAAGTACGGTCCTTTTAAAAAATGCTTTCATTAGGGGAGAGAAGTGATTCTTACAAACTGCAAAGTTTAGGGTTAATGCCAGAAATTTTAATGTGCAATAAAATATTCGGGAAAGCAGTGCATTTGTCTTACTTAAAATGGCAGTAGAGACTTGTTTATGGTGGCATCTGTGTATATATGTATATGAGTGTTTATAAATAAAGCTTTTCTTGCTGGATAAGATATTAACATAGGTAATAAAACCACCATAATCCCATGAGCCAAAGAAAATGCTGCTTTGGTGCTTAACCTTATAGTCTTCATTTGGAAACATGTATTCTGTTATATACTCTTTCATATAATTTTTTTTGTGCTGCATCATTATGCCATCTTACCAGAAAAACATTTTGCCATGTAGTTGTAGGACATGTTCAGGAGCATAGTTTATAGCCTTGACATTTAAGGAGAAAAAGCTGTTCCTTCTGGTGTTAATTGTTAAGGCCGCAGTCACCAGTGGGGAGTTTTTCGTTTGCTTCCTCTAAAGAATGTTTTGTTCTTAGGGAACTTTGGATTTTTAGGTCCCTCTTTTCCTGCTTCTTTCCATCTTTCTCAGACTCACACGTTGAACATATGCCTTCCTGTGAAAGACACCTGGTGTGGTTTAGAAGTAGCATTTGCTGCTGCTGGGGTGCTAAGAGCACATGGTGCCGTCCCCAGCTCTGCCTCACAGAAAACTGCCCAGAGCCATTAAGAAAGCTGCTGTCACTGCCTGTGTGCCTCTCAAGCAAGAGGTGGCGCAGTCTGTAGAGCACAGACCTCCTGCCACCACGGCTGTGCAGAGTATGCACTGGCCTAAGAAAGGCCACAGAGTGTGGCCCACGCAGCATGTGACCTGTGTGGACAAGAACCACACCCAGGATGGCTAGGTCATGGAAAATTTCGCTGCATGATGACCTTTGAGTGTTTTTCACTGGGTGTCCCAGCTGTTTTAAATCTTTCTCAGTGGTTGTAGCCAAAATAAATTATAAATTCTAATAAGGAGGCTTGCTCCAGCATTCATATTTATTAGATTTTAAGATTTAATGACCATATGGGCCTAAAACAAATGTTTGATTTCTTTTTTCAAAAGGCAGTCCAGTGGAGTTGCTTGACTTTGATTACTTAAATATTGATTTGTGGTTATAACCCACTTTTGGATCCTGTAAAAGGTGTGGCTTTTTAAAATGAAGTTTTTTCAGCAACCAGTTTGCAAAGAGGAGCCATTACTTCCTTAAATTAAAAAGAAAATGTTCTTGTCTGTTGTAAATATGTGTGTCCATTGACCTGGGATCTTTTGGAATATCTCATGGGCCACTTCCTGAAGGAAACAGACTTTGTTTACTTCCCTGTCTCGTGGACTAGTTGATTTTATAGAGTTAACAGTGGAGGCGCCATTAATTGATGCTAGTTTTTAAAGTAATATTTTATTGCCTCAGTGAGATGTGAATGTATATTAGTGAGAAAGTATTTGCATAAAAGAATTCTAAGTAGGGCTAAGGTAGCCAAAAAACAGTGCCCCTGGCCACTGTACCAAGCCCCTAGTTCCATCAGAAACACCCGCTGCCCGCCATGTGGGTAGCTCACGTCTATGCCAGTCTCCTGCTCTATCTGCCATTCTGCAGCATGCTGCTTTCTCTCAGCATTGTGCTTTATTTTTATTTTTTTTTAAATTGCTTTTTTTTTTTAACATTTATTTATTTATGTGTGTGTGTGTGTGGCCAGCTCAGCCCACCAGGGGCGGGGCTGGCTGGCATGTGGGGCTGGGGGATCGAACTGCGGTCCCTGTGCTTTGCCAAGCTTGTTCCAAGTAGGTGCTTTAGACCACTGAGCCATCTCTCCAGCCGCCAGCATTGTGCTTTAGAGGCTGGCCATGCTATTACTGGTCCAGCGACCTTGTTCCTGTTCCTGTGCAGAGGGTGTTGTAGGTTGGGGACTCCACAGCCTAACTGGAATTTCCACTGGGCACTAGTTTTCCTTTATACGAACAGTGCTGCAGTGAATGCCCCCATGAATGCACCTGTGAAGGGTGTGGAGTATTTCTCTGTGGTTGAAAATGAAAAGCACACTTTATTTTCTTCAGGAAAATCTTGAGAGACTTAGGACTGGCCGGTTTTATAAATGACTAGCAGAACACGTACTCAACCCTTTTTCCTGACCCCAGCTACCTAGCTAGGTATTATTCACAGGTTTTTGTGGATTGCCATTGGGATCCTTGTGCAGCCAAGTTCCATAAGAGCTAACAGCACTGAAGCTTACTTTTTCAGTTAACTAAGAATGTGTCAGGGGCCTGGAAGATAGCTCAGTAAAATAAGCACTTGCCTGGCAAGCACAAAGGGCCTGAGTTCAATATCTGGTTCCACCAAAAAAGAAAGAAAAAAAAAAAAGAATGTGTCAATTAGAGGGAAATTTGAATTTTATCACATAATGCATAGTTCTGAGGTATACACAATGACCTGCACTAATGTATTCTGACCAAATCATTTAATGAACCCAAGAATACCTAATAATTATTTTAAGAAGAAAGACATATCAGAACTGCTAAACACATTGTTATCTGTAGGCAGAATGTTCCTTTTATGTGTTTTTATCTGTTCATACGCTTATTAAATGGCTTTTCCCATAGTTACAATAAGGTAACCACACCTGCTTTCTTACTAAATAATGTCAACCAAGGAAAATGAGAGAGCCAGGAAAGGGCGCCTTGGTAGGAAGTTTTTAGAACATATTCCGTAATCAGCTGTTGGAACAGTCTTGGGAAGTGACCATTTCTGTCTCATCATTAGGGAAACAGGTGCAAAGAGTTTAAAAGTGGTGCTGTGAAGGTGGCTTGTCTGAGTTTGCCTGGTGTGAAGCACTAATAGTGTGACTGCTCTACTGTGGTTTAAGCAGTGTTCTGGGAGCCCGCGTCAGAGTTCCTGGGGAGATGTGCTGCTGTGCGTCCTCCTCCACCCTCAGTGGGGTCTGAAACGCTGGGCTCCAGCACGGTGCGGGCCTTCCTCTGTGCTCTGAGTCTGAGCGCCACTGTCTAGCCCATGCGACCGTGTTTTGGCGGTGGAGGGGCCTTGCTGGGGAGCACCCAATGCCTGAGCACGACTCGCAGCCACGGCACAGTGCTCCTCCCAGGGGTCCCTCACCCGCTTCCGTGGCTGGGAGTTGCCTGCGCTGAGCTCAGCATGGCTCATAGCTTGACTAGTCATTTCCAAAACAGTTGCAATCATCACACTGCGAAGGATTGCTCTGGAAGCCAGGTTGAAATCTCCAGTGCAGAGTCATCTAATCCTACATGTTCGTTGGCACTTTACACAGATGAATCTGCGTTGCACATTCTAACCCTGCCCAAGCGGGTTAGATAATGGTAAAGATAGGACGTAGCCCGTGGAAATGATTGCTTTGAAGGCACCAGTGTGTGCTTTTCCTTTCTCACGTCCCTTTCCCACCTTCCCCTCATGATGGATCCCCCAAGCCTCCCCCATTGCTGACTTTATAGCCATGCAAACGTAGCTGGTCCATGCCTGCTCGTGCTCGCTCAGGAGAGCAGTGTCAGGGGCAGACACCAGGTTCAGACCTTTGGCTCCTCTGCCTTCCCTTTCTCCAGTCTTACCTCTTTTTCTACTCTTGAATGACCCTCCTTGCCCTCCCTACAGAATACTGGGAGCCCATTCCTTTCTGGCAGACAGAGTAGGAGGCTGTGGGATGGGCGGCAGGCACCGAGCAGACACTTGCCTGTGATCCAAGGGACGGACCAGCTTGCGCTTGGGTTCATATTTTATCCTGTGCTGGTGAAAGAGCATCCATCCCATCCGTCTTTCTTTTGGTGTTGAGCTCATCCAAATAAAGAAGGCAGTTCCTCTGCCGAAAGGCAGAGAGAGAAAAGAAAAAAGAAAGAAAAATTTAATTTTAACCATGCACTCCTTCAAAACTAAATATATACCCCTCCCCCTGTCCTGATTGGTCTGCTTCGATTGACAGGTGGGTCGGGTGGGAAGGAAATATCCTGGGCTTAATTGTAAGTTAAGTCTCTCTTAATCCAGAAGAGCATTTGAGATTCTGTCCGAGTGTTCAATTTCCCAGGCCGCTGAGGTCTGTGAATTTCTTTTCCCAGCCTCCAGGCTGCTGCAGCACAAGTCAGCATAGCTAATGCAGATAGATCTCCTGCCTCCCGCTCTCCTCCTCCCTCGCTTTGATTCGATATGAACAGCCTGGTAACTCCGATGCTGGGGAGAAATCTGACATAACTCTGCAGATGGCTAGGTTGCCGTGAAACACCTGGGGATTGTTCTTTAAGAAAAGGTAATGCTCATATGCTAATGATTTCTTCCCCTCCCCTCCTTGTTGCATATTTTTCAGGGCTGCCTGTTCCCAAGAAGAGCCCCAAGTCGGTAAGGACTTGTCAGCTACTTGGTGATTGCTTGGGGGCGGGGGGCGCCGGGGGTGGGAGGGACACTGTCTGGCTTTCCTTCACTAAATGTGTTTCAGAGAGGCTGGGGGAGAGGAGCTGCGGCTTGTTTTATTAAGTTCTGGGGACCTATCGGTAGAGGTGGTCTTTGGGCTTGTCTTTTAACCGTGTGCAGATCTGTGGGCAGGCTGCAGGAGCTGGGACTCGGGCTGCGTGCTGGATAGCTGCTGCAGACGCGTCCTCGCAGCTCGCCTCAGATGGACGAGTGCCTCCCTGCTTTAACCTGATTCAAATGCTATTGTTTCCTTTGGAGAAAGGGAGGAAGAAAAGGGCTCCACCTGCTCCCTGAGTAGCTGCTCTCAACTGGTGCTCCCTGCGGCGCGCATGGCTACTCATCCCCTCCCTGAGCTTTCTCATGCTCTCAGGATGAATTATTTACTAAATCAAAAGCTCTGTAGGTTTAAGGAAGGACTGCTCTGCCGTGTGTCTGTGCCTGTGTACAGGTGGGCTGGTTCTCTCTGCCCCAGCACCCAAAATAAGACATTTCTTTGCTGTGGAAATGCCCTTTGTTGTTCGCTAGCCTTCGCAGCATTATGCTGCAGGTGTAGGATTTTTTTAAAAAATCAATGTTTCGCTGTCCTTTCTAATCTGGTTTCCCTGAAGATGCATTACCTCGTTGACATGCTAGCTAATAGCTCAGAGGCTGTAGTGTTTTGCTTGGCTGTATGGGCGCTTGCTCCCCGGGCACTAACAACAAATTAAAATACTACTTAAAAACTCAAAATCTGGAAGTCGGATGCCTGTGAAACTGATCTGGGTGGAAGAGGCTTCCTAATTCATTAGCCTTAGGATAAAGAAGGGTACTCCATTGTGGCTTGGGAGATCTGGGGAAAGGTAGATTTATAGTTTTTTGCAATCCAGAAAAGAAGGACCTTTAAAACTTTGCAGCTTTGGGAGCTGCAGCTGGATTCCTTCCACCTGTCTGCAAGCATGGCAGCGAGAAACAGAAGTTTATGAAGGGGACTAGAGAGGGCGCTTCCTGCATTGGGAAGCCTTGTTCCTAAGTTCTCCAAAGAGGAAGACCTGCAATATTGATGTGGTTCCAATAGCAGAGCACTGTAGTGACTGAAAGGCGGACTTCAGGGCTGCATCCCCTGGCAGTGTGTGTTAGTATCCAAGCGGGAAAGTGCTGGTTGGTGCTCACTGGAACCCTGGAGATGCCAGAGCACGTGCTTACGCACGTGTGGCTGTCTCAGTCATAGAAACCCATTCAGACTTCAGAACCTGGAAGCAAGTCTGGAAGCTCATGAGTTTGAATTGGTGTGAGTTGTGCTTGTTTGTCCTGAGCACGTACCCACAGCCATGCAATGCAGGTGCCTGGACTTACTTTATGCGCCACGTGTGGCATAGCGTCTTGGCAAGGGGTACTCTGAGGAGGGCTAACAGTTGCGCGCCGCTAGCATGACATCAGCATGCAAGGTGTTCTTTTCTGCTTTGCATCCTATTTAAATTGACTGTGTAAAGGGATTTTTGTCATGCTTGCATCTCCTCTTCCCTAAGGGTTTTGGAATTACCTGGTAAACTCAAAGGACATTAAAGAGGTATAGACCTGTATTCATCAAGCCTCTTAAGAGAATTCCCTGTGACAGTTTGTTTCTGTGGAAGCCATGTCATTAGCAAGCAGCAAGCCAATTACTTAGGCTGCATTCCCAGGAAAAACTCTCTGCTACCTGCCTTGCCCAGTCTGCTGGCTCTTAATTACTACAAGCACAGAGTGGCCTGCTGCTGGGTTCACAAAGAGCAGGCCCAGCCTGGGGCTTGCCTGCACAAGCTGCCTGTGCCAGGCAGGGATGTGGTCCTCACGGCCTCCCTGGAACGCCTCGCTAGCTGCTGCCCAGAAGGTGGGGGCACTCAGTCAAGGTCTGTGTTGGCAGCAGGGCCTAGCCACCTTCTGCAGTCGGTGGAAGCTCTGGACAGAAAGTTGTTTCCCTTTCCCAACTGGTATGTGGATGATATCCTGCCAGAGAGACAGATGATTGTGATGTTTCTCTGGTGGGGATGGCAGGAATCCATGGGCAAGCTGGTGCCCTGGTACCAGGAAGTCACTCAGATAAGGGCAGAGTCAGTTATGCAGCTTCACCCCTAAAAGCACACAGACTTAGCGCGGATCCTGACTGCCGCAGACTGCCCAGCAGTCTGACCACAGGACCCTGGGTTTTTGCTGTTTGTTCCTAGAGGCCCCTGGCATGGCTGGCTTAGTCACACAAGCACAGTTTCCTTGTATGCCCCTGCCTTGATATCTTTTCAAATGTTTCAGTAAGTTGAGTTTTTATTATGTAGAAGGACTTTTATCTTGTTTCTCTAAGCTAATCCTCATAGGTTACTTCTAATAAGGAATTTCACCTACTGGATTTAGTTTAAATGTTGAATTTGAGGTTTCTGTAATCACTGGGGACAATGGCAGTGTCTTAACAAACTTTTATTAGTTTAATACCTGGATTTTTATAGCATCAGGGATTTTCCTGCCAAATGACAGAGACCAAAATAAGACGTATTTGCTGTCCGTTTTAGACCTCTAGAAACTGATTCTGCAGCCCAACTTAATCATCCTGACCAGAAACTTACTTAACTAAAACTCTTGGTCAGAATCATACAGAAAGATCTTATTTCTGAGAATTTGAAGCTGTAAATATCACACCATGCCTTGAATTTCAAGTTGTAGCCCCTCGTGTTTTCCACATAATCATTTTCCAACATTCCCTTGATCTTTTTCTTCATCTGCTTCATATCCATCCAGCTCCTCTGTGCCCATCCGCCCCTGTACCCATTCACCCCTCTGTCCATCCACCTGTGTCCATCGCTATCCACCTGTATCCATCTGCCATTGTGCCCCCTGCCCGTGTCCATCCACCCATGTCCATATGCCTGTGCCCATCCACTCCTGTCCATCCACCCCTGTGTCTCTCTGCCCTTGTGTCCATCTACTCATGTCCATCTGTCCCTATATCCATCTGTCCCGGTGTCCATCAACCACTGGGTCCATCCACCAATGTGTCCATCCAGCTCCTCTGTGTCCATCTGTCCCTGTGTCCACACACCCCTGGGTCCATCCACCCTTGTGTCCATCCATTCCTGTGTTCACCCACCCTTGTGTCCACTGCCCCATGTCCATCCACTTCTGGGTCCATCCACCCCTGGGTCCTGTCTATCCACTTATGTCCATCTTTCATCTGCTTGTCCATCCATCTCTTCCATTTATTTCCCAAGCTAGCATTAAGAACCTAGTAAGGGGGATGGTGAGATGGCTCAGTGGTCTAAAGCACCTACTTAGAACAAGCTTAGCGAGCACAGGGACCGCGGTTCAATCCCCGGCACCACATGCCAGCCAGCCCCGCCCCCTGGTGGACCGAGCTGGCCACACACACACATACACACACACATACACAAATAAATAAATAAAATTTAAAAAAAAAAAGAACCTAGTAAGTGCCAGGATTGGTAGGAGGCGCCGTTCTTGCAAATTGTCTCTGTTCTTGCAAATTGTAATCAAATGATTTACTGCTTAGTTCATTTTAACGAAGAATTTATTGTCAGAGTACCAAAATATTTTCTGCCTTCAGTCCATCAAGTATTTCCTGACCATCTTCTGCTGTCACCCCCCATGCACCTTTCAGCAAGAACTAAAGCAGAAAGGGAGAGAGAGGAGCCATACCCAACGGGCATCTTCACGGACCTCCACGTGGAGATTAGGCTGAAGAGCATGCACTTTCAAAATTAAAGCAACAGTATGATACAGAACTGCCTACCCACATTATGAAGGCCACTCAGCTCTTAATCATATCACCTAAATTAAGCAGTCGTACAAAGCCGAGACTCGAGGCGTGCAGCGCTGCGATTCAGCTGTGGGGTGCTTTGGGCTCCTGGAGAGCCTGGGCGGCACAGGGAACTGTGTTACTTTGCTCCTGCCATCGGTTACGGTGTGGCACATTTAGTACTGCAGAGCTTAGTCTTTACTTACTAAGAAAAGTGCACGCAGATTTTTCACAGGACATGGGTGGTGATCAAGGGGATAGCTTCAACTCCTCACAGCCACCAGAGTGTAAGACAGCAGTAGTGATGGGCTCTGTTCCTCTGTCTTCTATCCCTCTGCCTGCAAGTGGCGCTAGAGGAAATTTCTAAAACCAGTCACAGAGCTGTGTGAAGGGTGGCACAGACACCCCCTGGATGATCTCGGCCTGTGCGCCCAGCCTCTCCCACACTCCCTCCCCTGCACCTTGCCTGGTCCGGCTTGGAGGCCGTGTGTCTCGCAACCCTTGCAGTGCCAGGGCCCCTGTGGGCGACAGCAGAAGCAGTGAGAAGGGCAGACGGGAGAAGGGACATCAGGGAACACGGTTGCTTCGCGTGGTTTCCCTCTGGCCTCTCACCACCCACAGAAAACCATGTTCTTCATGGAGAGCCCCTGCAGCCCCTCCTGGGGAGACTTTGTGTTACGTTTCCTGAAAGCATTCCAGATGAACCCAAACGTATTTCATAGCCAGTTGGCGATTTCCTCCTCCATTAGCTGCTTCCACCTGCTTCTTTAGAAGAATCAGTTTGACTTAGATCTATGCTTAATGACAGAGACAGAGCGAGCAAGCGAGCCAGGCTGCCTTGTGCTGTGGCTGGCCTGCATCTCCAAGTCCAGCACCCCTCGGCTGACACCGGCCTCACACCTCATCAGCACTTGGAGCTTCTCCTGTCGCGCATGTTAATCGCTGTGCTGGCCCTGGGTCTTGGCAGATAAGTGAACTGTAAATAATTTTGCTTTAAAATGGATCAGTTTGTCATTTTTAAGCCACATGAATTCTTTTCATCATTTAAGCTCCTACATGCTGTCTGTATTCATTTGCTCTTCGGAGAAAATATTTTCAGTTCACTTTAAAAGTACATCCATTTCTAAATCATTCTGTAAAATACTGATGAGATGATTTTCCTCCCATTTCCCATTCTTAAAAACCATTACATCTTCCCAATTTTCCTGTCCTGACAGCATGTCGTGTGAGAATCATTCATTTCAGGGACGTTGGCACAGGTTTATTTTAAAAAGCTCTTGTGATGCAAGTTTATGGCCAGTGTATAGCCAAGGAGTTTGTGGAGGCTTTAAAATTCAGTCTGTTTCCTTCTTCCTAGTTGGCTGTGATTTCAGAATCAGAAATGAAATTTTTACTTCAGAAGTCCCTGCACAGCGAAGACAGTGTTGGTGATCGCTGTGCCAAGGCAGAGTGCCTCTTTCCAGCCGTTCTCTCCACTGGAGACTTAGCATCTCCTTCCTGCTCTCTCCCAGTCAGCTGCTGGGTATGCCTGTTGAGTCTCGCAGAAGCGTCTTCACTCACTGCTCCTTGCCCTCATCACTCTCCTGAGCTAGCAGAGCCGCTGCAGTCCGCAGTGCAATGGCCTCCTGACCGGCCTGTCTGCTTTCACTCCTCTCCCCACCAGTCTGCTCCTCTCAGGAGCCCAACTGAGCTAGAAACGCCCTGGTCTGTGAGTTCCCTACTTAAGTGCAGGAATGGATCCCCTTCCACTAGGAACAGAGTTCAAGCTCTTGCGGGGTCTGCAAGGCATCTGCATATCTGGGCCTGCAAGCTCCTCTCAGGCCATGCCTTCTCTCTGCTATGCCATGTGACCTTCCTGGTCCACAAACAGTCCAAACTCATCCTTGTTTTGGGGACGTAAGATATGCTGTGTCTGTGACGCTCTGCCACAGGCATCTCTTTACCTCTAGCAGACAGCACAGTATCCTGTTACCAACACACTGTGCGTAGTCGATGACTGTCCATCTCCACACGTCAGGTGCGTGCGAGTGTCGGTCTCCAGGGCCCAGGCGCCCTTATCGCTGAGAACTCAGTGGATGATCAGTACGCACAGGTGGCGTGCACACTGTGCTCATGTGTTCAGGTAGCCACGGCAGGAGGGAGCAGCCTGCCGCCCTCCCACGATGCACCAGGCTCTTCTCTCTGTTCGTGCTTAGTGTGCACAGGGCTTCTGTACTAGGCCTAGGAGTTCTGTAACTCGAGCTCCTCGTCTCTAGCATCTCACCTGGAAAGGTGAGGCAACTGGCAGCCACATTTGCTGCAGGTCTGACCTGTGCTGCCCCGAGAGCAGAGCAGGGCTGCTTGCACTCTAGTCTTTGGGGAGGTCATCCCCGAGAGACTTCCGTTTGGGAGGTCCGTAAATGGAACATTAACAGTTCTGTAGGGCCAGCCAGACAGCCCAGCGGATTAAAGCACCTGCTTAGGCAGACACAGCGGGTCAATGCCCGGCCAACTGTGCCAGCCCTGCCCCCGAGTGTGCTGAGAAGGTGATTGAGACTGGGCGTGGTGGCGCGCAGATCGAGAGGAATATAAAGTGACGCTAAACCTTACCAAGGCAAAAATCTAGAAATCTTTCAGATGACAGTGAGGTTAGCCCAGGAGCATGCTCATTAGTGATGGCGTAATGCGGCAGCTTTTGGAGAACGTTCTCAGGATGTTCCTTTACTTTTGTTTTCCAAGTTGAGAGGCAAAGTTTAGATGGCATTTAAGAAGGACTCAAAGGTTCGATTTGACTGAGAAATGGTTTTGCAGTTGCATTCCAGATGTATCTGCCGTTTCGTGTTAAATTGCACCTAAATGAGTCATTGACTGGGGTGGTGAGAAAGGCCGTTATAACTGGAAGAATGGCCAAGCACTGGCAGCAGACCTCACTCGCACCCCTGTGTGTGGAGGGAGGCCGTCTCTTCAGGGAGCCTCGGATCCAGATCCTAGAGGCAGAGATGTGTTACACCGGGATAGGTGTCCCGCTGCGCTGCCACATGTGTGGGTCTGCTTGGAAATCGTGTAAGCGTCTTCTGCAGTGGGGCTGCCCAACACTTCAGCCAGCCCCCCTCAGTGAGTCAGGGCTGCCAGACAGGTATTTCTCTAGGGCAGGAGAACCAGTGAGGTGGATGGCCCGGCAGGCAGCGGGCAGGGCTGCGGTGTGACCCACGGAAGAAGAGCAGCACGGGAGCCTCTCCTTGGGTCCCCCTTATGTGCGTGTGCAGGTTGGGCACAGAAGCGGTGAGAGAGTCAGCGTTAGGGACTTTGTGGAATGGACTCAGAGTTGGTGGCCTGTGCAGTCGGGTATCTGATTTGAGAAAACAGAAAAGGGCGGACTTGTAGAGCATAGTGACTGTTGGGGCAAACCCAGAGGTCCATTATGTACTGAATTTCTTGCTTTTACATTTAAAGTATCATACCCTTCCAACAAAAACAAAAAGTGATGGCTTCAAGTTCATTTAAGAATGAAGATAACTTTAGTCTCTCTCTTGACTATGAAAGCATGCACCGTGGATTATGACTTGGAAGGTGTGAGCAGTGCAGGAAAGCGTAAAGCTCGGGGAAGTGCAGGGCATGCTCCTGCGTGCTGTGGGCGCTGCTGGGGAGGTTGTGGTGGGGACCTTGCTAATGAGCACTTCGGAGAGGAACACTCACTCCTGTGCACATGCAAGAGAGGGCGGTGTGGCGTCCGTCTCCCACCCTGAAACTCTCCAGCATGGCTCCCAGGAAGCGGGAGGGCAGGTGTGGCCTTCTCAACAGAGGTCAGACAGCTGGCCCAGAGAGCTGTGTCTACTCGTGGGGAGACACGTGGAGGCTGGCTGAGGCTGTTCTGTGTCCAGTCATGGGATGCTCCTTCAGCCAGGTCTGAGCAGAGCACCTTATCCCCCAAAGAGTACCGGGTGATGTGGCACTGTGCTGTGTTTCCCTGCTCGCCTCACCAGGACGTATCATCCCTGTCATTCTGAGTGCATTCAGCCTGTCATACAGTTTTTCTAAGCTTAGAAAAGGTTCTCAAATCCTCCACAGGCATAGAAAGTATCATTTTATGAGGTAAGGGTTCATTTGTTTGCTTTTTGAGGCAGGGTCTTGTAAAAACCCTCCTGCCTCAGCCTCCCAAATGCTGGAATTGCAGACGTTCACCACCATACCTGGCTGCAGGTATCATTTTAAATATCTTGTTTTGACTTCATTAAGTACATGGCTGGTTTTCTTTTACTCTGAATCTTTGTCCAAATCTGTAATAGTCAAAAGCAAATGAAGTCTCTGTCCTTCTTGAACTGTCTTCAGATACTTATTTCAGAGCAAAGACTGAAAGGGTACGAAGTGGAGGATCCTGAGAATTAAATGAAAGGAATCATGGGAATTTCCAGTGGAACTGCAGGGGGAAGAGAAGTGGGGGAGGCCTAGGAGAGAATAGGAAAGAACTGTCTGGAGAGGGCCAATGGTTCCCTGGCAGAAGGGCTTTAGGGAACTGTAATGTCTGATGTCCAAGATCTTGTAAATTGCTTTAACGATGTGAGGTATGCAGGATTTGTAAGCGGGGCGGAATGCTTTTCCTGCCCACCATCCCTGTGCCGTCTCCTAGGCGTGAAAGTATAGTGGTAGAGAAGGTGGGATCCTGGGTTTTCCCTTTGAATTGGGGAGTCTACACCTGGACTACCACAGTCTTTCACTGAAGAACTAAGATTATTTTTGCCCACTCAGGATTTTTCCTCCCAGTGTGTTTTGCTCTTTGTTTATAATCACCATTCAAAGAGCATTTCATACAATGGGCAAAACCTCTGCTGAGCTAGTTGTAATGAACAGTAACTTGCTTATTGTATTAGAACTTGAGTGGAATTCCCCTTTGAACACTGCTTGTGCTCTGGCCAAGTTGCAAGTCGAAGGAGGCTGACCTCCAAAGTTATCCCATATATGAAGTTTGATTTTGAATTTCTACCGTTGTATCAGCAGTTCAAAGGTGAAATGCAGAAAAGGTGAAATGCCAGAAAAACTGAGTAGCCATAAGTTCAGAAACCTTCTCATGATAGGTGTTTATCTGCATGTAAGTACCACCCCACACAAATGAGAGGCCGGGCTAAAGCCCAGATGCCTCTTTCCCCTGGGCTCTGACAGGCCTTTAGAGAGGAGTTGGTGTTTTCTTATTAAGATGCAGCACAGGAAGCCCTAAGGAGCATTTTAGTCCAATCGCATCTCTTCTGAATGTCATGGCCTCTTAGCCAACCACGCATGGCATTTTGTGGTACATATTTTTGTCAAGTAATGAGGATGTTAAAGATTGTTATCTTGCAACAAACAAGCCTGATGTCTTAGCTGAGAACCTACAATGAAAATTGGATTTGTTGCCCATTTCAGCCCAAGAACAGCATGGCTTGTGGCTGTGCCTTTCTTTCTGGCCTGCCCCTGTGTCTGTCAGCTAGTCACTTGGGATGTATCTGCATTCGGCATCAGAGGGGATGGTGGAGCTGGTGCTGCTGTGCACTTGCGTGTGTGTGTGTGTGTGTGTGTGTGTGCAGAAGGGCTGGAGCAGGCTCGAGGGGCGCGTGCCCCTCGGAGACCTGCGGTAACCTGCTCTTGGCCTGCCCCCTTGCTTCCTTTCAGCAGCCACTGGAGAGGAAGGACAGCCAGAACAGCTCCCAGCACAGCGTGTCCAGCCACCGGAGCCTGCACAGCGCATCCCCCAGCCACAGCGTGCAGGTGCTCCCCGAGTGCCCACCTGCAGAGGCCCCTGCCACTGAGCAGACCGACGGCTCTGGGCAGAAGAAGCCAGACCCTTTTAAAATCTGGGCCCAGTCCAGGAGCATGTATGAGAACCGACGTGAGTAACCCTGGCTGCCGCCGGCCCCAAAACCTCCTAGGCCTCCACCCTTCTCTGGTGGCTCCCTGAAAATGGAAGTGGGTGGAGGGACGTCTGGGTGGAGGGCAAGCAGAAGCTGCCAGATTCGTGGTGATTCCGCATCCTCCACTGGGGGGTGAGAGGCGCTAGCCATCAGGTGTCAGGTATGGAGCATGGACGAGAATGGAGAGGCCTTTCCTGACCACCAGCCCTCGCAGAAGAGTGGTTTATTTTTCTCTTTAGTTAAAAGCAGTGCCAGATTAAGAGCTGCAACATTACTAATTCCTCCTGAGGGGAGATCATGGCACCCCTAAACTTGTGTCTTCTGAAACAGCTCTGATTCCATAGAGTAAGTTTTATTATAGAAGTAATGAAAAATAATGTTCTCTTACTGCCCTCTTGGTTTTTAAAAATACTAGTAATTTTTTATACTGTTCTCAGTCTTTCTAAACATTCTCAAAAAGTAAAAACAAACAACAGTGGATGGTTTGCACTTTGCTTATTTGTATAATGGTGAAGTGTGTTCTTTGGTTTTTATCTGTTCTATAAATATATAAACCTAGGATACCCTTCTTGCTTAACTTCCTTCCTTTTCTAATGAAGACATTGCCGAAGAGTTTGCCATAAGTGGCGTTCATGCACCTCACCAACGAGAGCTCCCAAGCTGCTGGAATTCGGGGTGGTGCAGACAGCCCTCACTGGGGGTGCAGCTTGTTCCAGTGGGTTCTGAGCGACTGGTGGCAAGAAGCTCCCGGGGCGCTCTTCCTCCCCTTTTGTGTTGTCGTGGGCGAAGAGAGGTGTCAGGTGGGGGCACTGCAGGAAGGACTGCGATGAACTATCCCTGCCGCCCTGGGCGAGGCTTTTGATCCAGCTGTGGTCACCCTGCAGACAGGGCCCCCAGAGGGTCCTCACAGAGCAGCTCATAGGGAATGGGGCACCAGCCTCTGCCCATCACTGTGCCAGCTTCCTTTCGTGGCCCCTCACCTGCTCTGTGGCCCAAAGGAGGGGGAGGCCAGTGCTCCTGGCTGAGGAACAGAGGCAGCCACGCCCGTGAGTGCAGGCCAACAGTAGGGGCATGAGAGCCCCCAGTTGCTGGGGACCCAACCATGCCTCTCCCCAGCAGGAGAAATCTCTCCTTCCCCTTGCCACCGTCAGTGTTAGGTGTGCTGTGTGCGACAAAAGCTATCACACTGCCGACATCCCACTCATCTGCAGAGGGAGTTCTTCAGTGCCTGCAAGTGTTCTAGAGGCCAAGCAGGAGAAAAGGCCTTGCCCTTGGGTGTCCCACACACGCAGTAGATGCCAGTGTAGGCTGAGGTCTCTCCCCAGATGCTAGACCAGAGTGTTAAGGAGTTCAGGTTTTCTTCAGATCTTGGAATATTTTCATATATCTAATGAGATACCTCAGGAAGGGAATCCAAGTCTAAACCTAAAATGCATTCATGTTACATATATGTCTTGTACACATAGCCCGAAATAATTTTATACAAATTTTAAATAATTTTCTATGTGAAACAAAATTTTATGGTGTGGAATTTTCTACTTTCGGTGCCATGTCAATACTTTAAAAATTTCAGGTTTTGGAGTATTTTAGATTTTGAAATTAGAGATGCTTCACTGATGGAAGCCTAGGGCCCTTCCTGTGTCTTCTCCAGAACTGTAGTGAGCTCACTAGAACAAAAATCTGAAAGAATGCGTGGCACAGGGACATTTTCCATTCCCTTCCCACTTCTCTCTAGCCACACCACTTCTCCCATCAGTGGCACAATACGTGTTGTTATTGGAGTTTCCATGTATATCTTTTTTGGTGAAATAAATCCGGCGGTGAGGTGCCGTGGGCCTCCTGCACCAGACAGTTCTCACACTCTCCTCAGGAGTGGGCTTCAGCCCATTCACCCTGAGATAAGCAGTATTTCTTAAAACTTTGTTATTCTACTCAACTTGTAAGGAAATTTCCTCTCAACATAAGAAATGCAAGGTAGCCATAACCAGCAGCTGTAAACGTAGAAATTGCTCGGGTAGTGACCAGACTGAAGCACTTGGAATGGCTTCTCTTCTGTTTCCTTAACATACAAGGAATCGAATACCGCAGCCGAGACTCGCTGCCTTTGCTGGTGCGTGAGGCTCTAGCTAGAGGCAGCACCAACGTGAGGGACATAAGCGTGCCATGGGTTTGTTTTCCGGTTCTGGTGGGCTACGAGGAGCCCGGTTTAGTGTTGGCCATGGGGTTTCTTCTCCTCACAGCACTTCACAGTGCGCCCAGCTCACTCCGGTCTCTGAGTCGTAATCTGCTTCATCCCACATCAGTGCCTGCCACTGCGCTGGGTGGTTTTGTATCTCCTGAGAACAACAAAAATGCAGTATAAGCCCTCGATAAATAGGGCTTATCTTCATCAGAAAAAGTACAGAGTGCTCCAGGAAAAACAAGAAAAAGTCAGGAACAGCACTGCACTTGTACCATATTATCCCTTTTGGTTAAAAATAGCTTTTTCTTTAGATGTCTAACTTACTGTTATGGGCAATTTGAAGATAATTATGTTTCTGATCACAGTTCTTCACTTGGCCTATGTGTTTTTGCAAAATACCATAGTCTCCATAGGACCTTCTGCCAAGACAGCAGAAAGGAGCGATCTAAATTACAGATGTGGTGATGGATCCACTGAAGGGTCTTGGTGTTGGACTAAAAACAAAGACGAGCACTGCCGTCCTGTAAGAGGCATGTTGCCTGTCTTGTGTTGTCCCCAGGTAGCGTACCAGTTGTACAGGTCTTTACAGACATTGAGCCAGTCCTGTTAGTGGTGCTAAGGAAAATCAGCGCATAGGCTGCAGTATTTGGTGCAGAGGAGTTTGAAAGCTTGTAATTTTACTTGTTCACAATATATTTTGGAAAAAAATAAAAGCTCAAAACTGTCACAGCAAGCAGCATTGTAAGCCCGTCCGTCTTTAGAGTCATGCTCACCAGTTGAGAATTGAGCTTCTTTATTGTAATATGAATAAGGAGCTTGTGCGAACTTCTAGATTTTAAAACCTATGCTGATTGTTCCTTTTTCTTTTTGGTACTGGGGATTGAACTTGGAACCTTGCACTTGCCAGGTGGGTGCTTATGCTGCTGAGCTGTATCCTTGGCCGAAGTTCTTATCTGTGTGTTTGTTCAGACCTTAGACATACTCAGTAATTTATGCCTCTAAATACAAGCCTGCTCTGGTTTGAACTGCCTAGAATTCACCTGGATAAGTATTACAAGAATCAATTTCATCAAAAATTTGATACTCCCTTGAATAAATGCTGTAGTAAAGCAGTGGGACAAACGTACCTAAGTTTTTTCAAAAAGGCCAAAAGAGTTTAGACAGATCTGTGGCTCATGACATGATTGAACCAAGGTCACTTGAAAATACGTACCATGCAGTCTAATTAAGTATGAAGAGCTTCGATAGTGATGGGTGCCATGGGAATTCTGAGTAGTACAATGATAAATTCTAACGTTTTGACAAGTGAAGCATAATGAGGAGAAAAGGAAGAAAACTAGAATCACACTAAGGCCTAAGATCCATAGCAGCTGTGGCCTTTATTCTGAGAGCTGAAGTGTGTGTTATCAACTACAACGAAATTAAAATGAAGTAAGAGAAACAACATATACTAAGCTTTCCAAAACTGTGAACTTAATATTCCAGCTATGTCACCTTCGCCTGCACCAGGATTGAGCAAGGGTGAAAGAGAGCGAGAAATCAGTTCTACGAATTTTGGAGAATGTCAGAGTAAGGCCCTGTGCAAACCTGTATTTCTCCATTACCATTCATCCTGCTTGATGTCCCATCCGCCCGGGCCCTGGGGAGGAGGGGACAGGAGTCGCTGCGGAGGGACGCATGTCGGTTGGCCGAGCGCAGTCCAAAGCCAGCACGAGCTGAGAAGCGTGTCCCCACCAAGTCCACAACGCTGCGTGTGTCTGTAGTGGTGGAGAGACCTGCAGGTGTCGCTTCAGAACTGTGTCCCCCTGTTGCCAACCATCATAGGAAGTCTCTTGGCTACTTTATTGAGCTGCTGTGGGCATTACCAAAAAGGTATTTGCTGGTAGCATGCTTTTCAATGAAAGGACTTTAAAATGAGACAATCTGATAAGATTTTCTTAGCTCTCTCAGATCAGCCTTACTACAAAAATAAAATCTTAATATCAGAAAAACAGCTCAATCCCACTGCTTCCCAACAACCTAATTCTAATAAAATCTGCTTCAATTAGAGAACAAACCATTTAAAGAATAGCATCAGCAGAGGGAAATTTTACAGCCTTTAATATATTTCAGCACTGGGGCCAGAGATACATAGCTCAGTGGCAAAAGTGCCTGCCTGGCATGCACAAGGTCCCAAGTTCGAGCCCTGGTTCCACAAAAATAAAATAAAATATATTTCAGTACTGATATAGCACCAAAGGTGCGTACCTGAATAAAGAGCATGTAGTTGGTTAGCAGAGTGAAATTCTAAAATTCAAGTACCAAAAGACTTTCTTTATATCTTGCATGTATGTCAGTGTTTGCATCTGTGTTTTCCAGCTCATTCCTGGTACCCTTCACATCCGGAGTGTCATTGGGCATCTTTCTTTTCAACAGAAAAGTCTTTAGATAGATTCCCCATCTTTTCACTGATTCTCAAAAGAAAGCAAACACTGTTTTCCTGCGGACCAAACTTTGTGATGGGTGTAAGTCTGCAGGCCATGATCCCCCACATGGCAGCTGACACCAGGTGTGTGGCGCCAGGCCGCGCTTGCTCCGTGTGGTGTCCCCATGGGGCGCAGATGCCACTGTGTTCAGTGAAGCTGGGCTGTGCCCTCCTGCTCACAGAAGACCTCGTCACCCTTGCAGACTTCAGACTGCGCAGCAGCCTAGTGCTGGCTGCAAAGCAGTGGTGGTCTGTTAGGGTAATATCCTCCCGCTCGAGTGCACCAAAGACGAGGCACCAGTTGATTTAATTTGTTGTCTCAGTGAGGCTATTATAGCAGATGCCTTTTACCCAACAACTCAAACAGGAAAAAATGTATTGTTACCTTAATGTGCTCAAGAAGATAGTTCTTTCCAGTCGTTTCATGGGAGTCCAGTGCTGTAACTGGGTTCATGCTCCATGGTATTTTGCTGCTTAGCCTTAGCAATTATAATTAAAAAAAAAAAGATTGAATGAAAAGCACACATTTAAAGCCGTAACATTAAGGTAGCTCAAGCACACAGATATCTCGTCAGGCCCTGAGCCCCTTGGCAGTGCTATGCCATTCGTCTGCCGTTCTGTTTCCTCTCCCTTGGCGCCTTCACCCCCACGCATCCTAGGCTGCAGATGAGTCGCTAAAGAGGGACTGCTCTTGCCAATGTGAAAGCGTAACAGCCACCTTCTTCTTCCTACCCCACTGTAGAAAATTAGAAGACAAGAATTAAATTGCAGGTCTGTGCACTCCTGTAGCCCAAAATCCAATTAAACACTCCAGAAATTATGCAGAACGGTATTTTAAAATCTTCTCTACAATTCACTGCACCTAAATGGTGTTTGGTCTCGTATATACGAGCTGTGACCCTTTGTAGGCCATAAAATACCCTAGGTATACCTGAAAATGTTAAATAAAAATTAAAGTAACCCTTTTTATCACCTGAGAGAAATAACAAAGTATATAGCTTTTATGTACAATAAGAATCTTCTTCTTTCTTTTTAAAAATGAGATTTTCATTTTGTAGACCTGAACAGTTGCTGAATAACATGCCTGTCAGATTAATACTCAGAATCAATTCTTACAAAGTTGAAATACCATAGGCAGATTGTGTAGTAAAGCAGTCATTGTAGCAGTGAAATGTGATTAATTAACAGAAAATTTTGTCATCACTATTAACCTTATGAATATGGAAAAGTGGCTACTTCTTTGTGTTTGGAAACAGTAGAACTTTTTTCTTTTTTTCTGCCATGTTGGGAATTAACCCAAGGCCTTCTACACACTAGCTAAGCATTCTCCCCGAGCTGCATCCAGCCCTTGATCTAGCGAATGAAGTAATAGTGTGGTTACTAGTAAGAAAGAAAGGGGACTTACATATAAACTAGAAACTTTTTAACCCAAGCCCTCTTTTCCATGCTCTGGTTGATAAACATCAGTTTAGTTCAGGGCCTGTCCTGCAGCACTCCTGCGGAAAGAGCCCTGACGGCACGGCCTTGGTTGCACCTGTCGAGCAGTGGCAGTCCTTTGAAGAATCAGAGGCTCAGTCACTGTCTCCACTGTTTGCTCAGACCCCGTGTCCTCCGTCATTCCACTCCTCCTCATCCCTTTACTTCCTTGCCCTTGTTGGAAAGCTCTTACTGGCTCAACTGTCAGCAGTCTTGGTCTGCAGTTGCACTCATCTTAGTGGCCTGGTTCCCCTTATCAGTGAAGTAATGTGCTTCTCCTCCTCATCTGCAGTTCCAGACTACCAGGAACAGGACATCTTCCTCTGGAGAAAGGAGACTGGATTTGGATTCAGAATTCTAGGTGGAAATGAGCCGGGAGAACCCGTGAGTGCTGGCTTCCGTCTGCAGTGCTGTCTGCTAAGAGCTCAAAGCAAACTGACAAGATGGCAGGTCACCGGGGTTGGAGCACGGCTAATCCAGCACTCGCTCTGTACCCTGAGCAGTGTGGGCTTGCTGGTTTTTCTTGGGGAGGGGGTGTGTCTTTTTGTCCCCAAGGAGAGACACAATTCTTTCTAAAGTGTGTGTTAATGGAACACAGCAGCTGGAGGCCGGCACTGAGGGAAAGGGAAACAGCAAGATGGGGAGCAGGGAAGAAGGTCTGTCTGGCCCGGGACCGCCCTGCCTGCTCTGTGTGCTGGCGGGGCTTGGCCCAGTCGCCTCAGTGGGCACAGGGGGGTGGAGATCAATCGCAGGGTCTGCTCTTCGTAGAAGTAGGGAACAAACCTGCACAGGTCGGGTCACACACAGCCTCCCTGGGGCTCACTTTCCTGAGTTTTAGCATAAACTCAGTAGGATTCCATTGAAAGGCGCAGAAAGAGTGAAATGTCCCTGTGGTATTAGCAGCTGTTACTCATTAACATTGGCCTCTGAATATGGCCAGGCATTGTGCTGAAGACTTTTAACTTATCAAATGTTACGTGAGAGTCTCTCATTTATCAATCTATGAATTTATCCCATTTTTTAATTCAGAAAGACACAAAAAGGTTAATTAACTTTCCCAAGATTACAGACCAGTAAAAGGAAGGGCGATGGGAACCCACTTCCAAATGCCTGTCACAGCCTGCTGTTTTCCCAAGTTCTTGTGATTGCTAAGTATTGTGAGAGTGTAACTGTAGCAGTGTTATCTGCTGCGAAGGCCACGTAAACAATTTAGGGCACAAATAGCAGCAAGTCATTAGATACAAAACTGTGTCAGGTGTGAAAAGACGACAGCAATGGGGATGTCACACCAGGTTCTGTTCAGTTCATCTAAAACCATTTCGTGGGCCTGCACTATTGCTAGACATACTGCTGCACCCTTAAAGAAAAGCAGTATTACTCTTACAATTAGCCAAAGGTTGTTCGGGGTTTTTGTTTGTT